GGGCTTATATACCTTATAAAATACCAACATTTGCTCTTATAAAAAGCCTTACCGTCATCATAACGCCAAGAGCAAAAATGAATTGCCAGAAGAACAATGTAGTCAGAACAACATGCATAACGAAGCAAATGAACATTTACCCTGAAGTTCATTTACAGATGTTGTCCCAGATGACTGGGGGAAGGGGGGCGGGGGTAATATACTCTTGCAATGCATTTACACATGTTGTCTAGGATAACTGAAGTAATATAGCAAAACACGTGAGAGTTAAATATACTCCTGCATTTCATTATTAGATGTTGTCCCAGATGGCTGTGGTGGGCGGTTATATACTCTTGCAATGCATTTACAAATGTTGTCCAGGTGAACTGATAAAATAGAGCAATACATATGAGAGTTAATACGCTCCTGTAGTTCTTTTTATATAATTTCATAAAGCAAAGGAAAAAGTTAAACACGAGAAAGTTAATGTACTCTTACAGTTCATTTTTAGATGTTCTTTAAAAAGTTAAATACTGGGAAGTAAGTAAATATCTTAGATGTGTTCCTGAAAGAAAGCGAATATACTGTCTTTATTCTAATTTTAGAAGCAATAAAATTTTTTGCAAAAATTGAGTATCATGTAGGGATGGAAAATGCCAAAAAGTACGGAAACAAGGTAAAAATGAATACACAAAAATCACCACTTAAGTACCCAAATTTTTCCAAGAAAAACTTTTATCTACAACTAAGTTTTGAATTCCTGTCAGTTGCATGAATTCAGGTTTAAATAAAAACATTTAAACTGAACAGTGCTATACAGTCTTAAAGTGACTAATAGCCATAAGCTTGTAAGATGGACTTAGTACTTACTGGCTACTTATGTAGGAATTTTTGTATGATTTTGTGTATTCATCCCTACCATGTTTCTTTTTCTAATTACTTGTTCCTCTCTTTTTTTTTAAACAATTTTACTAAATTAAATTGATAAGTGAACATTTGTTTTATTTTTATAATTCAGGTGCAACATATATTTTAAATATCATATCATTTTTGTCAGTTCCTCTAATTTTGGATTACATTGGGGGCCAGTGAAGCTGGAATGGTTCATCCAGGACGGTACAAGTACCCCTGAGCGCTGGACCAATGTTAAAGAGATATGTATAGAACTCACGCCTCCCAACTTCACCCAAACTCACTGCATACAATCGACTTCACCATATGCTAGGGTCATGTCGATTAATAGGGAGGACATCATACAGATCGAAAGCCATAAAGTAGTATACCACGTATACACACACACACAGCTGCCAAGCTCAACCCAGTGAAAATTTGAAGAAAAATAGATCACTTCATAATATATTGTTTTGAGAATTAAAAAACTAGCGTTTTAAAACTCAAACATCAATAACATGTACACAGACCTGTCACTTGCATAAATATTTGATCTCCTTAATAGCTTCAATATTAATTCAAATTATTCTTTCTTTCTTTATTTATTTTTACTAAAATTGTTCTGGCAGAAATTATGTTTGTGAAATGAAGTCACAAACGGTCGTTATATAAGAACAGCTGGTGCTGCCATCTAGCGCCAGAAATGAAACTATTATGTATGAAACATGGAAATAATATATGCTTATAAACTTAACTCATTCCAAAGTAGTAGTTTTTCCTATATATTATTTGCTCACAAAAATACATGTAGTAGAAAAACGAAATACCATTACTGTTATACAAGCTATGAAACACTCGATAACTGCAATTAGGTGCTCAAATAAGGCTATAACTCAACTTTAGCAGTTATTTGTAAGCATCATAAAGTAACTGATTGAATGCGGCAACCATTTTTTTCTCGTCCCATCCCTACATCTTAAGCACTATCGTGCTTAGTGATATTGTTACGTCTCCTTTCGTTAGTTAATTTTCCGTAAATTCGTTCCGACGACACTTTAGAGACACAAGTCCTTTCTTAAATAAAACTGGTTTATTCTTTCCGAATACAAATTAACGATACACTTATAATACTTCTGACTGCAGTTCAATTACTCACTATCTTCACACATACATTACATTACCCTCTTTTATATACCCGACTACCCTATATCTAGTAAATACTAGAGCATTCGCCAAAGTACAGGATAGTTCTAGAAACTAGAGGCGCCACACCAGTCACGTGACCTCGATGACGCAAAACTGCTCC